TCTCACAAAGTTCGTCCATGCGACAGTGCTCACTTCCCGTACTTCGTGTGTGGGAAAATTTTATGCTTCCAAAATTTAAACCATTGTAGTGCATTCTGAGTGCCTACGAGGCTCAGTAAAATGAGTTGAAAAACTAGTCACTCGCTTATAATAAAATTTACTGCTTTGCTTGTTCATATTCATACCGTCTACACAACGTGTTTTGCCTAACGAAGGCAGAACTTTGATTGATCAATGGGATCCGTAAACGAATATCCCCTCCTCAAGTGATCTTCGAGGACAGTGTTGTAGTGAACGCTTGCCAATTCTGACTGAAATTTGGTGCAGAGGGTCGCCTCTGATTTGTCGTTGGAAAAAACACGAAAACTGCTGGCGGCTTCTTTAACTTGGAGCGATCAGGGTCCAATCGACGCATTTGTATACACAGGAAACGAACAGTGTGTGCGAAGAACCGATCATATTGCGTACACGCAATGCAATATAGCTTACCTGGTCTGCTGCCATAAGCCCTGACTTTCTACCCATTCACTTGAGCATCAGTTTGAGGATGTGGTGTAGAGTCTGTTTTATTAAGAGACCTTTAGACTGGGTTTGTTCAATGATAATGGTATGATTAGAAATCATCCCGATAAAAGGGAATTGGGAGTGTTGTGAAGTGCTGATCAACGGAGGATCGGAAAGGTTGGTAAGGGGAGTCATTGCTACAATCTGAAACCTTCGTTCAACTCGGTATGCTCAGTCTTCTACATATGACTTTCAAGTAATAAATAAATGATGTGTCTTCAAGATTTTGTCCTCTTCCCCTGAACTTATTTTTAGAATAATGAAGCTGACACTGGTAGCACAAACTGCTGCCCTATGATACATGTGTTCGAAGCTATTCGATGAGGAAACACCAAGTCAGACAGGCATCACTCATCTCATTGTCATTGTTCTGATCGAGTTCCACTAATCTCAATAATCTGCACAGTAGCAAGGATTTTGCTGTGCGCTTAACTACTTATCAGCAATCCTGAAATTTGCACTGATCAGTAAAATATTGACAACAACTGGAGTTTGGACTAGGAAATATGAATGAAATTTTAATATGCAGCTCTGATTTTGGTGCTGATACGCTGACACGACATCGAAGAGAGTCGTGATAAACGTTGACCAAAAAACTAAGTGATATAAGCAGGCTATTGGATCGATATCTCCCTTCATACTTAAAATTCACATGTGCGTACATTTTTTTACAAAAGGCTACGAGTCACAGAATTGCCAGCGTTTTCTTTCGTCTGCAAATCAGTGTTCAAGAAATATAAGTCAAAAGAGCCTTTTTCCTCTCTCGCAATTTTAGGAACGTGAAATGAGTCAACTGAAATAATCGATTTAGTCTTGTGACTTTTGGGTGACAAAAAATTAAGTTTTTCACTTCTATGGAAAAATGAACATCCATATGTGAC